CTTTCCTTGCTTTATTTTGTTCAACTTGTAGTCTGTGCCTGTACAGAAAATGTATCCCGTCATTGCGTCTCCGAATCCGCACTTCATGTTTGCCTCCTCGGAACGGATCTTTCCCCAGCCTCAGGTTCCCAACAAACCTGTGACATGCGTTCCGTTCCAGTGCCGATCCGGAGTAGACTTCTAAAAATCTGGCGACGAGGCCGGATGTGATTCGGGCTGTGTACATTTCTGGGGACGTCCATCGTACCCCAATCCTGTTCTTTTCGGAAACTTGCTTCCAACTGTGTAGATAATCAGTCTTTCCCCTGCCCCTCCCCTACTTGCACGCCTTTCCTGCGTGTTTCCGTACTCGCACACACGGTGTCTGCCCCCCACTGTGTTGTTGTGTCAAGATTTCCTGTGATGGCGGGGGCCAGAGCACGCTATACTCTTCGCAGTGGCGTTTTTCTGTAGGGTCTATCCACCTCTACACCTTTCTTTATTTAAAGCAGCATAATCTTTCATTTTTTTCTTTCTGAACGCAAAGCCCCAGGGAAATTCTTTGTACAGAAGAAAATCCAGAATTTCAGAGTGGTCGTCTTTTTGCGCCTGCAGGGATCACTCACTGCGCATCCACACCCACCCACACATACACCCACACCAGTCTATGGCTACTGTTTTCTTTTCTTTGGCTGTTCTACTTATTTCTTTCCATGCACCCAAGGCTGTTATTTTTTCGCTTTTGGTTCGTAATTTTTTCTTTTCTGCTCAAACCAGGTGTTAGAAGATATATGCACATATATGTGGGCGTCTTCTTTGGTATAATAGACAAGGGTCTCACGATTGTTTCCCTCGCTGTCTTTCACTGCGAGACCCGCTTTCTCTGCTCTACGCACCATGGATGTAACAGACGTTAACAGCCTCACTTTCTACAAAATTCCAAACTGTTCAATCTGCTAATTCGTCAAAAAACCGCAGGTGGCACTGCGTAGCTTCTTACGCCAGCGTCTTCCAACCGCCAGTGATCACTCATCACTTTCTGTTTCGTTTAAATTACAAAAAACCCAGTTTCATTTAATGTTGGCCTCGATTCCTGCC